CCTCCAAGTACTGTACCTTCGGCTTAGGGTATAGGGTTTTAGGGTTTGGAGCTTTAGTGTTCTAGGCTTTAGGGTTTCAGGTTTCGGGTTTTAGGGCTTTGGCTTAGGGTTAAGATTTGGTGTTTTAAGTCGGTTGTGTGTAATTCTCATTGGTTCTACAACGGTGCTTTGCGGGAAGTACAGCAGTTAAGGGCTTGTCTAGGGTTCCTGAGGGTTTCAAGCGTGTATGATTTGTTTTTCATCCGGGGTCCATAGGTTGCCAGATCATGATGACTCGTATTGAGTCATGTGATTCAGGAGTCAGTTGAATGGAAATTGAGATGTTTGCAGAGTTGTTTTGTCGTTGGCTCGGGGAAATCATCAACGAGGTCCGTAAACCCTAAGCTCTACTATAGTGTTGAACCCTTAGCCGGGATGTCCCTTCACCCTGGAACCGTCGATTCTATACGTCCTGTCCCCCCCGACTACAACACCCGCCTAAATCCTTAGCCCCAAATCTCTGTTTCGTACGCCATCTTCCACCCACCCACGACAATACTCAGGAAACTAAACCCAGTAGTATAGAAACTCTTATGCTCCTACAGACCCGAAACCTTGAACCTTAAAAGCAATCCGGCCAAGCCGCAGAAACCCACAAAAAAAACGCTCATCGACTCGTCTAAATGCCTTTCTGCTTGGGGTGGTAGTCTACTATGTTTGCCGGGCTTGGAGGCTACATGTCAGGCCTCAACCCAACCCTGACATAGCTTTAAGGCTCTTGGAGACTTTGTTACTTTGTTTCTTTTTTGGTTCCGGTCTTCTTTTATAGGGGTCTCCGAAAAAGTAGTTTTTTGTTTACCTTCCAAGGGGAGTAGAGATAGAGGTCCTAAGAAGCTCACCAAAACGCTTCTAAACTCCGATGAAACTGTTCCAACTCTACGAAGCCCAGTTTGAAAGCCAGAAAAAACTCAGCAAGCCCTACAGACACCCTAATAATGCTCTTTGCAACCCTGCACATTTAAAGTCTCCCTTGACCCTAAATGAACCGCAAGAAACAAAATTGTCATACAACGCGTTAATGTCTGAAACCCTCTGAAAGACACCTTATGGGTTAAGGGTTACCGAAGTACCTTTTAATCCGTTAAATGTACCAATTGTGCTAGGGTCATTTTCCTTTTTTTTGTTGGTACCTTGGTTACTCCAGGTAGGGTCTCGGCGCTAAAGGCGAAAAAACCATGAAAGCCCTTCTGTTAGGGTTTAGGGTTTCGGCCACCCGTGGCTAGAAATATGAAAGCCTTTCTCACAGGGTTAAGGTTTTAAGGGTTCAGGGGGGTTCAAGGTTTAGGGTTTCGGCCGTTAAAGCGAAAACAAGAAAGCCCTTCTAACAGAGTCTTGGGGTTTAGCTATTTTAGGGCCTGAAGGGTAAACAACAAAACAACGAGTCCTTCTAAGAAATCGTGCTTTCAGGCCGAGCTGGAGGCTGAGGAAGGGGCGAGCCCGAGGTCTATCCTCAGCCCGACGCACGGCGGCCTGAGTAGTGCCATACTAGGGAGGGTTCAAGGTTCAGGATATAGGGTTTAGGGTTTAGGATATATGTAGCTAATTACGAATCACGAACCTGCAGTCTAATTATCCTAAACCCCGGCACCTAGGCACTTGGGAACCTTAGGGTTAGAGATTTGAGGTTTTGGGTTTCTACACCCGCAAGGCAGTGTAGTTGTTCATGTGCAAAGACGCAAGAATGCACCAATAAGCGCATGCATGACGCGTTACATATAAGTATCACCAGAAACGAAGCAAAAGAATATACATCACAGGTTCAGCACGTCCCCCTCTATATGCTTCTCCAATCCAAGCTTCCGACATGGACACTTATAGTGTAATGATGCCCGAAGGGTCTGCGTGCATGACCGCAAGGAGGTTCGTAACCTGGGGCCGAAAGTATACTTATACACTACATGAGTACGTGGACCCTACAATTAACGAAGGTTCAGCGATAATCCCATAGACCTTAAACCCTAAATCCCTAAACCCCAAACCCCTAAACCCCTAAACCCTAAATCCTAACAACCCGAGCCGCCTGCTACGGCCCCAGGAAAGGTGGTGCTCGCAGTGCCAGGGGATCTCCGCGAGCGGGAGACAAGAGTGCTCGGCCTACTATAGAGGCCTTTGTAGTTAAAATAGACGGTTTAGGGTTGGGGTCCAGTATGCTACACGGACAATAAGGACCAGTATGCTACACGGACAATAAGGACCCCCGCCCACAAAAAAAAAGTAGTTATTGGTAATGATTTGGGAGTTTCCGAAACTAGGGGTACCTTGTTTTGGGGTCCTTATAATAAGGATCCTACTCTGAAGGGTACTATATTAGGGTCCCCTATTTTCGGAAACTCCCCTTGAGGCCCATATATTATATCCCCTAACCCCTAAACTCTTCTTCTCATGACATCCAAGAAAGCGAACTGACGAATTGAATCCTAAACCCAAAAGCTCTCACAAAGCACCTTAAACATGACGCGTAGGGATACCTGATATGTACCTTATATAGGTACTTTAAGGCCTAAGTATATACTCTAATATGGTTACATAGAGCCTCAGGGCATGCCTGCATAACCCAGGCTTCCCGCAATATGAAGAACAGACGAGGATATAACGCAAAACACAAAGTATCAAAGTACATACGTAATCCCTACCCCTAAACTCTAAAGCCTACACTGTAAACCGTATTCCCAAAACAGTACTCAGGTGCTCGGGGCAACCGCAGTGCGCGGCGACCCGTGGAGTTTGCCGAAGATCCCGAAAACGGTGGCGAATAGCCGGGGGGTTCCTGGGGCGGCTTGAACAGGGCTTAGCGTCTAGGCATAGGGTAGAGGGTTTAGGGGTGTAAGGGTTTAGCCGTTGGTCGCTTACGGTCTGGGGTATTGCAGTGTGACAAGCATTGGAGGTGTAAGGGTTTAGGGGCTTAGCTTGGGTACTGCCCCCCACTCTGTAACAGTTGGACAACGCTTACTTATATCTAGCCCTTAATATGTTACAGGGTGGGGGCAGCACCTAAGGTTTAGGAGGTTTTGCTTTATGGTGTTGTAAAGCAGCTTGTAGGCATTTTCCAGGTGTTTCAGGATGTCGACTGTTATTCTAGGGGTTATGATAGGACCACCTTTGCCTGGAGATATGTTAAAGCCTAAACCCTAGGCCCTAAACCCTCAACCCCTAGTAAACAGCATCTACATCTATCAATCAGTCAATCAATCTATGAATCTATCTATCTACCTGTATACACACGCGCAGGGATACATACATGCATACATACATACATAGACGCACACATCGGTTCATTTGAAGCCTCTGCTTCGTGGTACCCCAAAGATTGCAGGATTGTTTCACGCTGCCTCCCAAAGAGGAGCTTCGCCGAGTTTCGCTTTCGCCAAAACTCAGAAGCTGTAGCTGGGTGGTTGTCAAAGTTATGGTCCCTTTTTGGGCACCCTCAATATTAGGTGCCGTATCATAATAAGGACCCAGCAAGGGAGCTAGCATGTCCGGGGAGTGTTTGATTCTTTCGTGCGTTGGGCCTCGACCCTTGGAATCCTCAACAGTGATTTCAGGCAAGGCTGTCAACATTCAACTTGTAAACAATCCTGCAAGCGCCGAGCACGGCTTACAGAGTAATCATGGGTTTGGGTTGTTTGCTTACCTGTCGTTTGCATCTTCATGCGTTCAATGAGAGTTCGTGTGCGTGTACGTGTAGTGTGTATGTAATGTATGCAAGCTACCGAAGACCCATGGATGCCAACATATTATACACCTCAATCGAAGGCCGCACCTTAAGCTTTTGAGGGAACCAGGTGTCCTGCTTAATGCAAGGATTCGGGTCTCCCAGACTGTGTTTACATGGCAATACACGCAAATGAATGCACAGATAAGTACATATGTATACACACGAATGCATCATGGATGGATGTATGGATGGATAGACGGGTGGATGCATTTTACACAAGGTTCTGTGCGATCTGCTTGCATGTGTGTGTGTGTGTGTGCATGTCCTCGGCCTGTGCATTGGCCTGTCTCTCCCACTGGCTGCTGTTGGGTGTGGTAGAGGTCTACCATGACTTTTTTTTTATTTGGATCCCGATCCTTGCTATCTTCATCATGCCTCCTGACCCATATAATCATAAGCGACCCTAGGTCTCCAGTTACCTACATAGCAGGTTACTAACCATACTTGGAGGATCATGGGACTTAGTAAGTCAGGTTATAGGTACCTTAATTGGGGTTATAAGTAGTTATAAGTACAGTTACCCTAGTTATAACCCTAGTTACTAAGTCCCCATGATCCTTTAAGTATATCTTATACCCCAGCAACCTACTATCTAGGCTGCCGGAGCCCAAGGGGGACTCTTCGCCGATAGTTGAATCGGAACTCTGGACCATAAGCCCCGAACTGGCACGGTTTCCGTAGCTGCGGGTTTAGGGCTTAGGGTAGAAGCCAGAAAGTTGGAATATGATTATCCTAACCCTTCTATGGTAAATCATAAGGTATCCTACCATGAAACCATATTCCAACTTTCTGGAGTTCCCTATAGGGTTTAGGGTCACCTTCCAGAAGCTGCGGGAGAACAAATCCCGTACTACTAAAACTGACACCGAAGAGAAACAGCCTCCGGGATGCCTCTTGGGCTTCAAAGTTTAGGATGCCTGTCCTATCCTCACAAGATTTTATCATCAAGATTTCTGTTTCCTTAGGAACCTAGGGCTCCTTCTTAGTAGAGTTATAAAGCAAAGTAAAACCTACCCCAGAACCCTCTTCCAGGTAATTTCTGAGGTTCTTTCTAGTATGCCTTATAGAAGCTTTTAGGAGCCCTTACCCCTGAACCCTAAACCCCCCTAAACCCAAAGGGTCCAACGTTCCTATATCGTAGAATGTAGGGTTTATATATAAGGAATTACTGTTATGATTTGGGGAAGTATGCCCCATAACAGTACATAGGACCCTTTGGGTAAATCCTTAAAGACGGCGCCCTTAGGCTTCGCGCTCAAGTCGGCGCGCAGCCCGGCACCGTCGCCGCGCCCGGGTCTGGGCCCAGGCGGTCTTTCAGGGGCTCAATTCAGGGATTTAGGGTTCCTTCAACGGGATCTATGAGGGTTCCTTAAAGGGGTCTATAGGGGTACTATAAGGGTTTAAGGTTTAGGGTTCCTTCAAAGGGATCTGTAAGGGTTCGATAGGGGTTTAGAAGTTCGGGTTTAGGGCTGAGTTCAGGTATTCAAGGTTCCTTCGTAGGGATCTATGAGGGTTCGATAGGGGTTTAGAAGTTCAGGGTTTAGTGCTGGGTTTACGGATTCAGGGTTCTTTCAAAGGGATCTATGAGGGAGGGGTCTATAAGAGTACTATAAGGGTTTAGGGTTTAGGGTTCCTTCAACGGGATCTTGAAGGGTTCGATAGGGGTTTAGAAGTTCAGGGTTTAGGGCTGGGTTTAGGGATTCGGGGTTCCTTCCAAGGGAGCTATAAGGGTTCGATAGGGGTTTGGAAGTTCAGGGTTTACGGCTGGGTTCAGGGATTCCACAAGATTCAAGTGGGGTTGTCCAGAAACTTAACCCTTTTGGTCTTTGGTGGCTCAGGGTCCCTGAAAACACATGTGCAGTCAGTGCAGTCCCTGAAAATTACTGTAATGCACTTCTACAGACAAAGTGCGACCTCTCACATGGGGGATACTTTTTGATTTTGCGGTCTCTTGGTTTCGGACTTGAGCCAGTCACAAGGTTCGCGCAAAGAGCTGAGGTTTTGGGTTCTTTTGGGTTCATCTTAGCTTGGGCATTTTGGGCTGTAGCCTAAATCCTGGGGGCCAAGAGGGGCGGTGGGGCGGCGGGCATACCCAGAGGCCCCAAAGTAGTTCCTTTTGGGGATTACCTTCTAGGATTCCATATACGAACCCCAAAAAGGAACTACTTTGGAGCCTTTGGGTATTCGCGAACTCCAGCATGGCTTGGCTGCGTGACGGTTTCCATCCAGAGCCAAGTGCTGGATTCAGGGTTATGCGTCAAGCCAAATTCCCAGTACTTGTAGTTGTCATGAGACAACATACCATTCCGAAGGACAAGATTCAGATGTAGGTGAAGATTCAGAGGAATGTTGTGCACGACCAACGAGGGTAGTCAGCTGCAATGCTTGGTTTCGAACACTGCGGAAGGGGGGGTTCCATAGATCTGTGCCACAGTCTGTAAGTTCCTCGGACTTGTTTGAGTTTTCATTACAAGAAATCCCCAAAAGGATTAGCTATCCCAGTGCTAGTTTAGTTAGAAGGGCGCTGAACGGGCTAAAACCCTACACCTTCACGACCATCCAACCGCCGCTTTCGGAGTCAGGCCACCCACTACGATGTTTCAACTTCCTCAGAATAGTATTCCTATAGCCAAAAAACGCTACCACCTGGACCCCGCAGAAAGCATGTTAAGGCTTTGACAGAGAGGCTCGCATCTCAAATCTCTTTCTGTTTTTACAAACCAAACCACTGTAGGATTCTTTAGTCAACCCAAAGCCTAGTTGTCGAAGCTTATGAAGGGAAGAAACCCCAAACCCTTAGCCCTAAGAGGCTTCGGTACCTATACTCTCAACCCCGGGTATTTTAAATAGAGCCAACCAGGGCCGACAGTACCAGCTGACAGCTGGAAGGCCTGATGATGACGGGCCTGCTTTGCGGTGGAGCTTAAACTCGGGAGGGGGCGCCACCTCACCTCAAACGCTCAAGCCCCGAAGCCCATAAACAGTCAAGCTTTCCAATGCATGTTTTTCGGACTTCGGATAATTGTAGCACGGTTTTCGAACACTGTATGGGCACTGAACCAAAACCCGGTAATCTTGATGTCGACGCCAGCTAGAACAAACCTCACCATGCCCGTATCTTTACAGAAGGGTCGATCCTGAGGCCTGCGTTTGTGCATTAAGTGCATAAGGAGTTTTTGAAGTTACGGAGTCCTTTGGATCGGCCTCGTGATGATGCTCTTAACCTTCTGTTCAAGCATCCTTTATTGAATTGATTGACGCCTGCGTCGCCTTGTCATGGATTCTTGTGATGGATTATTGTCATGGTGTTTTGGTTTGTTGAATCTGTTTTAGTGTCCCTTTACTGCATCTATATGCATGCTTCAGTTCAGCCCCTACATCCAAAGCCTGAGCCTTAAACTTTAAGCCTCTACCCAGAGGCTCCATAGTAGTTCCTTTTTGGGATTACCTTATAGTAATAGGACTCTATATATGAACCCCAAAAAGGAACTACTGTGGAGCCTCTGGGTATCCGCATCCTCACCCATGTGTGGCGTGCTTGCGATCCTGAAGAGCGTTGGCATTCACAAACTCTCGCGCTCAAAGATAGACCTTTGCATAGTGAGCACTACTATTCAGATATACATAGCATCTCTATATATATATATATATATATTATATATATATATATATAATCCTGCCATACTCCAAGCAAAAGCGCTATTGAAACAAACATTGTTTGTTGTGTAACACTCAGCGTTGTGATTGCTCTTGTCGTTGTCGCAAGCATAGCACCCAGGTGTGGGGCCTATCTTACGAAACCTAGCATACGTGATGTAAATCCTACGAAGCTTCTTCCTCTCGCCTTGTTCCTTTCTAGAGGCTCCATCGTGGTTCCTTTTTGTAGTTCATACTTAGAATCCTATATGGTGATCAAAAAAAGCATTACTATGGATACTGAGGGAAGCTTAAGCTTCGAACCGAGGTTCCAGCTTTTTTGTCTTTAGACCCGGATGCCCACCGAATATAAGCCGATGACAGTGAATGCTTGTTTCGGGGTAACGTTGAGTTCAGGTTTGCCTACGGCTTAGGTGGTCAAGGAGTTAGGGGTTTAGGCTTAGAGCTTAAGTGCGGTCTGGGGGTATAGCTATTGCGGGGTTTATTGGGTTCAGGGTTAGGTTTGCTGCCAGTAGGTCTCCAGCCGACTCTTCATCCGGAACATTTCGGTGAAGCATACGAAGGCTAGGGCACGAAAGCGGAAGCGTGTGCACACAGGATTCGTGGTAGCTACTGGTGTTTAGGGTTTAGGAAGTTGTTGTATGGAGCTTGCTTTTCACCCAAACGTGTGACTGGTTTCGCGCATGGGTCCTTGTGGTCGAGAGTTGGGCCGACTCAATGTGTCGTTTTTTTTTTGCCGTGGCATTTTGGACGTTGCTGAATGTTTGCATCCGGGGAACATGAAGACTCTATAGTACTCTCAAGAGCTCCGTCTTGTGCACATAGCTACTATCCTAAAACCGAGTACCTAATTATTGGGTCTTTTGGACCCTTGGGGTTACGGTTCAGGCTTATATAAGCCCTAATCCTAATCTTCAACTCCCAGTCTCTCAGCTCAAATGCAGAAGGATTGAATCCGATTGAGCTCTGTGTTTGGCCGTTGTGTAGCTTGGGCATAAAGGTTCTTAGCCAGCTTATGTCTGTTGAAGGTTCGGTTCATGGTTTTAGGGTCCTGGTTTGTTCTTGGCCGTGCGATGTTCTACAACACCAACATCAGCGGTAACAGGCAAAAGCAGTAACAGGGACAACAGCAACGAGGATCTCGCTTCCCTCGACGATGTGAAAGGTGTGAACGCAGTGTTTGCTCATGGGCAGGAGCTTGCACTGTAATTTAATTACAGAGTTTGTGTCTCTTTTGGACATCGTCTTGGTGTGGTTCAGGGTTTAGGGTTTAGGGTTTTAGGGTTTAGGGTTTAGGGGTGTTCGCGAAAGCCCAATTGAGTCAGCATCCGAAGACTGTGCTGGACTAGTAAGCCAAGCAAAACAGATTCAGAATCATTCACGCAGCCAAGAACCAAAAATCAACAACAAAAAAGCAATCAACAAGCAACATCCAAAAAGGCAGAAAACAAGAGACGAAGACCATCAACAATCAACAGCAGCCAATAGCAGGCAACAGCAACCCGCAAGCAACCAACAGCAAATGCGTAGTTTTGCTGTGATGTACATGGCCGTACTGATTGAACGGCAGCTTGAAGTGTGATGTTGCAGCAACAACAGCAACAATATCGACAACGAGCACACGACCCTCAACCGAGACCCTGAACCCTTAAGCCCCAAACTCCTAAACCCTGAACCTCTAAACACCTAAACCCTAAACTCCTAAGCCGAAAACCCCTAAACTCCTATACCCTCAACCCCAAAACCAGTCGCAGGATGCATCGAGCTTGACACACAATCTAACGGAGCAGCCTCTTGTCTAGGGTTTAGGGTTCTAGGGTTTAGGATTATAGGGGCCTTTTTAAAAGGTTCCTTAAAGGGATCTATAAGGGTTTCGATAGGGGTACTATAGGGGCACGAAAAGCGGTTTCAAGAAGGGTACTACTTCAGTACAACATGATTTAGGATATATTCCTTACTTAAAAGGCTTGGAGGCATTGGCTACGAGGTTTGAAAGCCCGTGAGGAGGGCACTTGCCTTGTTCAGGGGCTTAGGGTTTAGAGTTTCGCGTGGAGGGTTTACGGTTTAGAGTTTGGGGTTTAGGGCTCAGGGTCTAGGGTAGGGTTTAGTGCAATACAAAAGCCTGAAAATGGAGAATAAGTTGCTATCGGGTTTCTTACTGTAATTACAGTACAACAAGCCCCAAACCCTATTGTAGTTATGAAGGCCCCTCAAGTTGGGTCATGCTCCTAATGACGGGTGAGGGAGGGTTTTTCAGCCTCGGCAAGGGGCGGTTTAGGTTTTAGGGAATTGAAAGATCTTGCTCAAGGCCTTGACATCATCTTGGAAGCATCGTACCAACTCCAATGCTGACCTATCCCGAAAGCTTACTTGCCGGCGAGTGTGTTTTATGAACCCCTTGCTAAACATGAACCTCACACCTGAAGACAAACCAAGCCTGTACCCGTTTATCTAGCTTATTTTGGGCTACCTGAGTTTGCTAGAAGCAGACGCTGGCTGTGCGACGCCCCGAACTGGCGCAGGATGTGCCTGCTTGAAGAAAGCCGTGCGTGGGGCGACTGCCAAGCTATGTTCTTGGCGTCCACCCTTTAGAGACTCTTACTGAGCACTTTGGGCCTGCCGCGGCTCCTCCGCCTTGTGGTCCTGAGGTGTCGAGTGACGACGATTTGGAGCTGTGGGGCCCAGACCATGAGGCGGCAGACAGGCAGTTTCCTGTCAAGGAGCCGAACGACACATGGGTCTTAGGGTTCCTAAAGGGTTTGTATAGGGTTTAGAGCTTAGGGTTCCGAAGGGGTTTGTACAGGGTTTAGGGTTTGGGGTTTTGGGATTCCTAAAGGGTATGGTTTAGGGTTGATACTGTCAACTCCAGCAGGTCCAACACTGTGGCGGCGCAATGTACTCATGTTCGGAAGTACACTGCCAGTTTGGAGCTACTGCCGGGTCGCCGATTTGATGGCATGGCTGTGCAGAGCGCTCCTCATTGTCCCGCTTTTGCACTTTGTGGACGACTTCGGCTCCAACGAGACGAAGGCAACTGCGGCGGGTGGTTGTGAAGACAGAGCTGGAAGCGAAGAAACGATCTAGTTCGTGGTCCCCGAGGCCATTGCCATTGCAGAGGGCGCATCCGATGCGAAGACCTTCACGATTGGGACGAAAAGGACTGTTGATGGAGGCGAGAAAGAATTCCCGAAGGTGTGGGTTCGTAAGGGATTTACGAAGAGGGTGGACGACGCCGAGCCGAAGGCTTCGGGTTTCATGTAGGGGACCGAAGCGTTACCTAAATTGTTTTGGGGGCTCCTTATTTTCATTATCGTATAATGGGCCCCGAAGCCCTATTCTAATGATTAAGGCCGCTATATTAGGGTTTAGGGTTGATTGAGCGTCACGGCCGCTCCTCCGACCTCATTGAAACATCTGAGTTTAAACCCTAAGCCCCCACGCCGCAAAGTCCTGGAAGCTAAACCTTCACCCTAAACCCAAACCCTAAGCTCGGGCTACGTTAACTTACCGACCCCCCGGCAGTTCTAAGTACGCGTTTAGGGCTGTGCGATTCTAGATGGTGGTGTTGTTTAATGTTTAGGGCCTGCAGGTCGTGTAAGATTCATAGCATGATGCTGTCCTCTCGTTCTGTTTGGGAGGTTCGGTGTGTGGTTGCTGTCGCCTGGACCACAGCAGGTAGATAAAGAACATATACGGTAGGAGTTTCGAGCGTAAGGTCAATCTGCTCCTGTTTCTGTCGAACTCTACGAGACTGTCGAAGATACTAATACAGTTAGGTCGTTGGCCCGCTTTTGTTGTGGGAACCGCTTACCCCCTAATTCTGACATTGAATGCCCTGAAACCCCAGCCCACCACTTCCTGAGCCCTTGGAGCCCTAAACCCCATCGCAGTTCGACGGGCGAGAGTGGGCAACTACTCAACCGTACATTGAGAAGTAGAAGCATGCCGTACTGGTCCAGCACCCTTGCAGTAGTCTTTGATTGGCCAGAAAGTGTGTCAGAGGAACACGTATAAAACCAAGGTATATACCATACAGGAGCGCGGTGCCTACAATTTTAAACCCACTTCTTAGACTCTGCAAAGCCACAGTCCTGCGTAAAAACCCTGCAGACCCTGTACAACACTTGCAAGAACAACTCAAAGGAGGGTACATGAACTCTGAAAGATATTAGACCACTCCAAGGCTAGGTGGTAGCGCCGTGAACGGAACCTGCGGCTATGCGACGGTCTGGGCTTCAGCGACATTGAGACTGTTTGGGTCCGGGGCTTCATAACTTTCTCGTGTTGGGGTTTTGATTTTAGGGTGTTTCTAGCATTTCGCGTAGTGTTTTTTCGTTTTCTGGTTTCGGTGTGAAAATTTAGGGTTTAGGGCTCTGCTGTCTTCGGGTATATTGTTCTCTGGTTTTAGTGATTTTTGTGTTTAGAAACTTGGTTTTAGGGTTTAAGCTCTAGGGTTTAATATAAAGGTTTCTGGTTATGCATCAGGACCATCCATCAATGGGGCTTAAGGGTCAGGGATTGGGGACATCGTGACTCGATGTTGTTCATTCTTTAGTGGTTTAGGGTTTAGGCGTCCCAGTTTCAGGGCCTCCCAAGATGGAATTCCAATTCCCTTTGCTGCTTGTGCCGCTGTGAGAAACGGGGAGCCAACACCTGGCACGACTTTTCCGAGGCTGCTCCTTGGAGGACAACTGCATGGTCCCCCGCTGCCTGGAGGGGTTGGCCTAATCGAAGCATGAAAAAACTGTTCCACAAGGACCTTTGCTTTGTTCGCCTGGTCGATTTTGACTTGATGCATTGCCGATATCTTGGCTACCTTCAGCAGCTGTTCGGAAGTGTTTTTTGGCTACTCTGTGAGGAAATGATGCAGGGGAGCCCACTCGCGAATTTGCAGGAGCTCTGGAACTTTCTAAAGACATGCCCGGCCAACCACAAGGTGCACAGTCGCTACTCCCAGAGATTGAACAAGCTTAGTATGTACAAGAAGAAGAAGGACTTTCCGAAGCTTCGTGGAAAAGCCGCAGAGATAAAGGACATGGCAGCAGCCATGCAAGCAATGTGGACCCAACAACCAAACTATGTTTTCGCAACGATTCACAGACCTTAAGCACTAACCCATCAGTACCACATGGCAACCCCTAAACCCCAAACCTCTAAACCCTAACTCTGAAAGGGCTGTCCAAAGCAATCTGCCAGGAGTTTGACTAACACATCCTACCCTGCTCCCTCTTCTGAGCGCCACCCGAAACTCTAACCCCGAAGCTGCCTCTAGGGTCCCAGACCCTCTCAAATCTTTTAATTATGGGACATACTTTAAATTATAGTACGACCCCTAATGAGGTTTAACGTACATTCCTTAGCTAAGGGCTTTTGGAAGGTCTGGGGTTTCGGGTTTGCTACCTTGCCCCAGAGTCTTGATCGAGTCCATGATATAGTACCTGTTAATATAGAGCCTCCATAGAATCCCTACAGAGCCCCTCTAGAACCCTTGTACACCGTCGATAGAGCCCGTAAAGCATCCTGATCAAGACATAAGTCTGAGAGAAGAAACTTGTTGCCTGCAGTGGGTGCTTAGGATGGCACGGTTTGCACCCAGAGCTTCGGGTTTAGGGTTGCGGATTGAGGCTTTAGGGCTGAGGGTTCATCTACACGATTGAAGCCGGAGTGATAGGGACTCTCATGGTATATGCTGGTAGTGAGACATAAAACAGAGCCCAGGCAATGAAACATCTTGTGTTTACTCATAAAGCACTATGCTAAAAATATGAGACCAGGCATTGCGTGTAGCATGGCTATCCGACAGAATCAACGGTTCGCTGTGATTGGCCTGGCTGCAGTGCTGTGCAGGGAAACGACTGCCACAGGTAGGTTTGAGTAGAGTGATACATAAGCTGATCGAAGTTCACCTGCCCAGCATTCCACTTTCAACCTGTACCCCAGACCTTAAGCCATGACCCTAAACCACAAATCCTACCCCAAGCCGGAAGTTCCTAACCCGAAGCAACGTACTAGCGACTGATCCCCGATCCAAAACAAATCCGTAAATTAGAAGCTCTAAAGCGGTTTAGGGCTAAGGGTTCATCACAGAATTTTATACGAAAAGCAACCCTGATAAGAAAAGCTTCTAATCAAACCCTACAGCTCTAAAACCCTAAGCACGAATCCCTAAGCCCATATCCCCCCAAACCCATAGTAGCCGAAAGCACCAAGCCCCTAAACCCTAAACCCCACCCCTAAGCCCCTGAACCCAAAACCCCTAAATCTTAAACCCTAAACCCCCAAATCTAAAACCCTGAACCCTAAACCCTCAACCCCTAAACCCTAAACCCCTGAATCCTAAACCCTCAACCCTAGACCCCTAAACTCTAAACCCTAAACCCCTAAACCTCAAACCCCTAAACCCCAAACCCCCTAAACCCTAAGCCCCTAAAGCGCTAAAAACCCGCTGCCCAGCCGACGTGGAAGTTCCCCGGATGTGAGAACGCTGCCGCGAAGGTGGCCGAAGGACGGGCCCTTGTGTGGGTTCTGCATCAGCACTCCCCAATGGCCATTTAATGGAGCCCTTATGTTCCGTAATAATGGGTACTTAGAGCATCATTTGGGTTGTGTATAGTTAATATAGTTACATGGTTTAAGTACGGATTCTGGATTTAGGGTTTGGGGTCCAGGGGGTTTAGGGGGTTTAGGGTTTAAGGGGATTTAGGGTTTAGGGGTTTAGGGCGGGTTTAGGGTTTAGTGTTTACCCACAGGCTTCATAGTAGTTCCTTTTTGGGATGACCTTATAGGATTCTAAATATGAAGCCCAAAAAGGAACTACTATGGAGCCTAACGGTAGTATAGTTAAAGGGTTCTTGAAAGGTGTCGTTAAGGGTTCTATGCCAACTTCGTGCGTGATTGGCCTCGCCTGCGTTCGCCACTGCATCGTTGTATCGGATTGCGAGACTTCCGCAGCATCAACCTAATCACGTGAATGTCGTCCTCACCACGGGTACACCGTCGCAAGGTATGCATGCAGACATGGCCCCGCCGGAGCTGTTGAAGCGTGTCCAGAGATGATGGAACCCGCCTGTCAAAGGTAATGTACTATAGCTACAGGGGCGTTCGCAATTACCTATACTATTTTGATGAGTCCTTCTTATATACTTTAATATAATTGGCACCAAAACTGTTCTAATTGCTAAGGCCCCTATATTAGAACCCTGTTTAATACCCCATGCGGTCTTCGACCGTCTGTCTTTTGGGGTTTTTCCCCTTTCTGGTTTTCCAGCTGCCTCCTGCTTCGGGACATTCTGACAGGTTTCCAGTCCAGGTTTGTCTTCCGGCGATGATGCTATCGATGCCATAAAGCCAACGGTGGTGTGGAACCTTCAATAAAGCAGGCACGGTCTGTAAGAACCTGAAATTTAAGATCCCTGCTAGAAGAACTGACACCCAGAACTTCAATCCACTTTAATGACGTTAGTTGGGAGGTCCGGCTGTATCGAGGCTGCTACACTCGGAATCCGAAGCCCTACATGAAGAGCAACAGAGACGTAGGTTACTCCTTTGGCGCTTGAGGGTTACGTTCTTTGGGGTTGAAATGTTTTAGGGTTTACCCATAGGCTCCATAGTAGCTCCTTTTCAATATGACCTTCTAGGATTCTAATTATGAGGCCCGAACGGGAACTACTATGGAGTCTCGGGGTAGGTGTTGCGTTCAGGGCGTGGGAGTCTCAGACTCAGAGTCAGAGTTTAGGTTTAGGTCTTGGCGATGGGACTCGCACTCGAGATTTTGGGTTTTGGGTTTAGGGTGTAGGGTTTAGGGCAGGCCGCTGCATGGCCACAAGCTATAAATACTAAATACACTCTTGTGTACTGAGTGTGCAATGTTGTCGTGTCCATGTTTTCCAGCAGACGTTTCCTCAACTTTCCCTGAACATCTCCCCAAAGGTCCAAAGGACCCAATAATAAGGTACTCGGTTTTAGGATAGTAGTTATGTAGGTTAGGGTTTTGGAGAGTATATGATTATCAGGTGCTTGGACCCTTGGGGCTCTACTTTGGACCGTAAACCTCAACCGCACAGTCCAAACCTACAAACGGCTTTAGCACTGGCAGGACCCATGCGGAATGTCACCCGCCCACATCTGCAGGGAGCGCTGGAAGGCAGTGTTCAATCAATTCTGAACTGAACATGACGCGGAGTGTCTACGGTTTTGGGCCTTGTGTGGTTTAGGGCCGGGTTGAGGGTTTCGAGTTTATTAGGGTTGTATATTGAAGACCAGAAGCCACATTGAATCTTGCGAAGCCTTGAAACCCATGACCTTAGATCCATTCACAGCGTTGGAAAAGCCCTATAAATCTCATATCCGCGGCCCTATGAACCATATGGGAGTTTCCGAAAATTAGGGGTACCTTATTTTGGGGTCCTCATAATTCGGATCCTACTATTTAGGGTATTATATTAGGGTCCCCTATTTTCGGAAACCCCCCATATGAGCGCTCAGCCCTACACCCTCAACCGCCCTAGAAGCCCTGAGCCCCACACCCACACATAATGGGACCCGAAAAGCACATAAGCATAAGCATTTGATGGGGATATCCCTACCTTGTTGGGCTTCATCATAAGGGGGTTTATATGGGATATCCCTATCCTAATTTTTGCTTATGTGCTTTTTTGGGGCCCTAACACAGGCCCTGGTCTGACTTGCCGGAGCACCGGGGGGGAAACAAGGAGTTCAAAACAACGAAAGCCTTCCCTAAGGGTCCAAGTACCCAAATAGTAGGGTTTCAAGGTCCAAAAACCATTCAGGGTATGGATTTTGGGATCTAAAACCCTACTATTTGGGTACTTGGACCCTCTGGGCTTGTCCTTCTTGCGAAGGGATGTGCGTTACCATTTATACGGAAAGTAGTAGATTAGGCAGCCTGTAACCTTTTTTGGGGTTGTATGGTCCCAATTAAAATCCCTATACAACCAAAACAGCTAACCTTTAGTTCCCCATGATACCCGACAAGTAGGACAATATGGTTTCATATAATATATCATCTATAACTACAGATCTCCCTAACAACCCAGAGAACCCAATACCCCATACTTCCTGACATCATTTTATTAATTAAGGCCTCTATAGTTTAGGGTCTATTCCTTAATTAAGGGGTATTGGGATCTCGGAGAAGAGCCGAGCCTTAGGGGTCGGGTCGAAGGCCCCGATTCTTCGAGCTCTTCTTCCGCGAGCTCCCCTCGACGGCGGCGGAATGCGCCAGGGGCCCAAGGTGTGATAGGTTTGTGGGTGTAGGTTTCATGACGGTTTAGGTTTTAGGTGTTCGAAAAATGATCCCTTAAAGGGGTCCCCTGTTAACCCTGTTTCTGGCTCTCTTATACGGGACCTTTAAAAGAGGGTCGAGTCTCTCTCCCCAAAGCTCCCCTAGTCCTAGGTCCTCAATTACGAGCAATATAGTCTTGGAAGATGGAGATGCTAATACCCAAACCCCGAACTCCCCACTGTCTACCTGGCCGTGGATTTTTGTCTGCTACCTCATAGGGGCAGGTAAGGAAAGAGCAGGGTAAGCAATCAAAATCAAGATCGACATTCGATTGCAAGGTGTAGGATGGGTTTGGGTTGGGTACGGCCCCCACTCAGTAACAGTTGGATAATACTCATGATATAGATATATAAGGCCCTTAATAGTAGCCCTATTATAGACTGTTACTGTATGGGGGCCGTACCCAATGATGATATATTCTACCACAGCCCACCCCGAAAGCCTAGTCGAGTCAATACGAATTAGCTATGGCAGTTACCATGGTCCATCTATTGTGTCAAGCTTGGGATTTAGTGGTTCCGGTGTTTGCCAGAAAGCTTACAGCCGCATTTCAGGGTTCAAAGTTTGCGGCTTGTTGTTTAGATCCTTAAACACACTTAGGGAGATCAGGGTTCAGGGTTGATGCGGGGGAATCAGTTTGAGATAACCGAGTTCACCGTTGATGCGGGGGAATTAGTTCGGGATAACAGCGTTTAGGCGGTTTAGGGTTGATACTCAGTGATTCCTGTCCTAGGGCCTTGACAACCATCAGCATTGCACTAAGCTCTCCTGCCATGTGATAAGACGCCTGCACCTTACAAGCCCTGCAGCCCTACACCACAGTCCCTGCACCTTGTTGCCCTAACTCCCAAATCCAATTCGCGCGCACACGTGTGTGTGTGTGTGTGTGTGTGTTTGTGTGTGTGTCTGTCCGTCCGTCCGTCCGTCCGTCCGTCTGTCCGTCCGTTCGTCCGTCCGTCCGTCCGTCTGTCTGTCTGTCTGTCTCTGTGTGAGAGTGTTGTTTGTGTTTGTGTGTGTGTGTGTGCGTGTGATTGTTCACGAGGTCGTTTCGCGGCCTGTTGGTCACAAATTCTCGGAGTGCTCAACACGTTTTTGTTTCATCATCGTCTCTGAAGCTTCAGGACCATTGACACAGGAGATATTCCTTAACTAACTGACAGGTATTGCACACCTTGGATCAACAACTCAATATTTTGCTGCTTTGGTTTCGGGTCTGGTACTGGTGGCACTAAGTGGATTTTTGTTGTTTTTCAATCGGGGTTATATAAATCTCAGGTACTTGCGCCATTTGGGCTGGTCAGGAGATCGCTTGATACCTTTCGATTTTGTCGCCACCTCAAAAAGCGATATTCCAGAGCAAACACTTGCAACTCCGAAACCCTAAGCCCTACATCCTGGACCCGCCAGATGACCCCCTGGAAGCCTTCATACAGGGTATTAGGGTTCAGGGTGTAGAGAAACAGCCGACCAACATAATCCAGAAGCTTGGCGCACAAACACTTCACACAACGTTTACAATATGCCAAACCTCTTGAAACCAAGCATCAAACCCCGAGCCCTAACCCCTAAACCCCTAAACCCCAAACCCTCATGCTTTCGAGTCCAGGCGGTCGCAGCTGCATGTCGTGGCCTGAGCCTAGCGTTCGCCCTCACGACTGACAGGTCTACGTAAAGGATCGTGGAACTTCGGAAGAAGCAGGATCCCGCAACTCCCCAGAGAGCCCAATACCCTTTGATTAGTTAAGGAATTATGAGGCGGTTCATGTTAGGATTTCGACCAGATTACTTAATGAATTACAATGGGGTGCATGTTGTTATGATTTAGGCCATATTACTGAATTAGGGGGTATTGCACTTTCTGGGTCTCCTCTAACACAGCCCATAATAGATCGAAGCGGCCTTAACCCTCAACTTGGGCCGCAACCCCGGCCGCAAACCCTAAGCCCGACAATCTGAAGCTGAAGCCCCTCCGTGAGAAACTGTGAGCTACAACTCCTGCCTAGAAACCCCATGCAACGCTTTGTAGAACCATCATAGACCTCCCACAGACAGAGCTTGCTAAACCCTGATAGACCTTGCTAAACTACGAAGGCCTGTAGATCTCCATAGGTCCATAGAACCCTAATTAAAACCCCAAAAACCCCAAGCTCCACTATCCTATAGATCCCCCTAAAAACATAGAAACTTATAGCGACCAAAAATAACTCTAGAGACAAAGGGCCTGATCGCCCGGGGGCGGATCCTCCTGCAGCGTGCGGCGGTGGAACTGGCCGGGCAACCCAGGGCTTAGGTGCTTGGGGACTAGAGACTAGAGTTTAGGGTTTGGGGTTTAAGGTTTAGGGGTTTAGGGTTTAAGGTTTAGGGTTTAGGAATGAGAGTTTAGGTCTTACCTGGACCCCCAAAGTATGTAGAATAATGGCCTTTTATAGGTATTGGGCCATTATTTTACCTACTTTGGGGGGGGGGGGGGGGTAGGTAAGGTTAAGGGTTTAGGAATGAGGGTATCTATGGGCTTAAGGTTCAGGTGGCTTCAGAGAGTGCGATGTTGCCACAGGATTATGGTGTCATGAGTCATGACCAGTATACTACGTTGCTGGATTTGGGGTGGCCGGATTGTCATGGGTATCCCAAAACAGTCTTCAAGGATTGCAGTACAGGGCATGCATGAGTTTCAGAAGGGCATCATAGGGGTCAGGGTATCCGACGCTCTGTTTTTTCAAGGACGTCAGGTTGTCCGACTTTAATTGCCCAGGGTTCGGTGTCATTTTTGGGCTCATGCAATAGGCGCGACAACAAAGTAACATAGGGTCCTTAATAATTATAGGGTTTTGGGGGTTCCTCATGATAGTTATATACCTCTTCTAATCATCAAGCCCCGAATAGTAACCGGTGTACCTCGTTAAAGAGATATGATCCTAGATATGAGACGTTTACTTTGTTTATTGTACCTTGGATACTGTAGGTAAGTTTAAACCCCAAGGAGTTATGGCTTGCGGGATCCGGGGTTTTGAGCACAAGGTCAAGGGTCATTGTTGCAACCAGACACACCCCAAGCCCTCGCCCTAAACCTTAAACCCACAAATATCAATGGGGACTGGGGGACTGGATCCTCATGATAGTCCCGTCAGGTCCCAGATGCAGCAATCCCTGTAACCCTTCCCTACTAAGAACCAGGGAGCCTAATATAGGGGCCCTAATGATTGCCTATACTATTTTGGCGATTCCTCACTATTCTCTATAGTACAATGGGCCCCAAAACCATATTCTAATTCTTAAGGCCCCTATACTATATGGTATCCTTCTAGATCCCTTAGAGATCCCTTCAAGGAACCCTTTAAAGGGACCCCTGTTCTCATTATCAAGGCTTTAAGGCCCCTGCAAACCATGAAGAGCCCGAAGCCCCGATGCCCCAAAATCTGAGCATCCCTCAGCTCTATAGTAGAAGCCCAAAAGTTGGAAACCCATTAGCCTCAATCCTTAAGAGTAATGTATAGGGAATCCCAGCACTATTTGGCCTTAATCCGGTTTCCAACTTTCTGGGGTTCACTGTGAGCCCGAGCTCGGCACGACTTGTGGCTTTAGGTTTAGGGCTCAAAGTCTCTAGGGTTTAAAGTCTAGGGTTTATGGGTTTAGGGTTCAAGAGTATGGTTATAGGGTTTTGGGATTTTGGGTTTAGGGTTCGGGGTTTAGGCTTCAGGGTTTTTTGGGGTCTAAGGGTTTCGGGTTCAAGCAAGGTCTCTGGGGTTCAAGGTTTAGGGTCAAGGGCTTAGGTCAGAGGGTCTTCAGGGTTTGAGCTTTAGGGTTCAACGTCTTTGGGGTTCTAAGCACTTTAGGGTACAAGGTCTTTAGGGTTTAAGATTTAGAGTTGAGGGGTTTAGGGTTTAAGGTCTTTAGGGTTGAAGATTTAGAGGTTTAGGGTTTAAGGTCGTTAGGGCTTAAGATTTAGAGTTGAAGGGTTTAGGGTCTATCTTCCCTGCAGGTATTTCATGCTCCGTTTGCGATACGCATGGGATGAACATGCAGCATGAAAAAACACACGAACTCTCCCAAGCGAAAAGGGGCTACCGTGGCAGCCTAAATCTAGGTTCCTGAGAAGTACCCGCTTTCGCACTGTTTAATTTCGGGTCCCTTGATTGAAACCGAATCGTATGAAAGGGGCATCCTTGTTAGAAAGGGGCCACTCATATACCTAGGTTACTTGATACTCTACAAGGAGCCCTACTCCATTTATCAAGCCCCGGTTCAGTATGCATCGCTCAAAGGACGGGATGTCAGCAACGATAGGCCGATGCGAGAGGCCGGGATCCATGCCAGAGTTTCAGAGTTTCGAGTTTGCAGATTCGGGCTTAGAGGTTCAGGGACATTGGGGTTTCGGGTTTAGGGATTCAGGATTTAGGGGTTTGGGTTTGGGGCCAGTTTGGGAGTTTGGGCTTCGGTTTCGAATCAAGGGGTTTGGGGATGGTTTGGGGTCCAATGGTACGAGGGCGTATCAGCGGTTGGAGGGTTTGAAGGTTTAGGAATTGCCAGTGCAGCTTCCTTGTTAGACCTGCTGCCCTCAAAGTGTGCCAATCTTTGGCTTGATTTTTGGCCCATACCTGTTCCACCTGGCCCCGTAGTGAGCCTTAATGTCACATCTGTTATACCATGCCTCAAAACCCTTATAGTAAGCCCCAAACCCGCCCCCCTGCCAGAACCCTTGTAGATCCCTGTAAGAACCCCTTTAAGGAAACCTAGTTATCAAGTTACTAAGTCTCATTAATGCTTCAAGTACATGACACGGATTTATGTGAGGGAACCTCAGACTTTCAGCAAGCCGACGTGTCAGGACCCCGCTGGGGTCCTTCGGATTAGGGTGTCGGGATTTGCAGTACCAATTTTTTGGGACTTTTCATTTACAGGAACCATCAAGGAATCAAAGCTTGCAGTGTTTTTTCCTTGGCTGCTTCAAAGGACCTAGTGTGCCATGTGCGACAGAATGCGCCGCTCTATGCTAAGAAATCTGCAGTCTGGACAGCCCCTTCACCACTTGAGGTTCATGGGTACTTATAAGTGGGGTTGTCACTCCGGTAACTACACTTATAACCCATCTTACGGGACTTGTATTTCCATTTATAACTGCCCCTGGCCCTCCAAGCACCGTCGATGATCTTCACAGTCGCAGACACGACCGACAAAATGTGTTCGGCACAGAAACTTGCGGTCTTGACATCTCCAGTAACACCCGCGGTTGCCAGTGCGTATGGGTGGTTGTCAAAATGAGGGTCCCCTTTTTTGGATCATTAATATAATACGGCACCTAGTATTTAGGGTACCCTTAACAGGGACCCTAATTTTGACAACTGCCCATATGGAACTGAAGCTTCCCAGCATCGCTGTCGTAGCATGGAGTTCGGAGCTCTAGGCTTTGCGGGAAGATATGGGATCCTCATATGGGACCCTAAATAGTAGTATCCTTATTATAAGGACCCCAAAATAAGGTATATTAAGGTACCCTTAATTAATCTTCGGAAACTTCCACATCTGGGTTCCTGAGTAGTACGGTAGTACCCTTTTTGCCCTTTTTGTGTTTGAGGGTCCCCTTATTAAAGCCGACTGGTAGGAGAAAGGGGTACCCTTATTGTAAAGTGGCTACTCAGAAACTTAGATATTGTGTGCAGGCGGCAGTTAAAACTAACATAAAAGCTGGCGTGCAGCGCTGCCCAACGAGGATAAAACGGACCCTGGGCCCTGGAGCAATCAGCATACGCAAGCAGGAAATACTGACCCTTGGGGTTGCCAAGCCTTAGCATCCCACCACACTAAACCGCCTAAGCCGTAAACCGCTTAAACCCGAATCCTCTAATTCTAGCCCTGAACTTCAAGCCCAAAACCCTAAACCGTAGGCCCTAAAGACTAAACGAACCATGAGTTACCAACATCGGGTCTCCTGCCACCAGGGTTTGCCGCAGCCCACGCCAGAACTTCGGAACCCAGATTACTGGAAGAATCCAAAAACTAGATCCCTTTAGCCCTTTAGCGGGATTCCTGGAAAGTACCACTTAGTGGCACAGTTTGGCAGTTTTTTTGCATCTGCCGGTCTGGGAAGGTATTTCGGTGGCCTGTCTGCTGAACGCAAGGTCGGGCCATGCCGCGGGGGAAGTTGCAATGCAATAACCTACAGGTCTGAATAATGTTTTGTAAGAACATTTCCTTGTAGCCCGTGTATATATATATATATAGTATATTGAAGAGACTATAAAGCATGATTTGCCGGACGACCCCAAACCCTGTGGGAATTATCCACATTGGACCTTCGAGGCACAAATCCCATAATAGAGATCTGTTGGATTCGCGTTTACGGTGCACACTCTCTTGCTTCTGGCACTGGAGTCATGTGCTGCGAGTGCCTATAGTAGGTGTAGGATTCCGTAGCCAAGACTTCATGGTCGTTATCAGTCAGTCCCTGGCAACCCCTCCATAGTTCTCGTGTGGCTACATGCCAAAACGTGTTGCTCAATCTGCTGGGTGGTCCCTGACTTTAGGGCCTGCTTTTTGTGGTTTAAGGTTTAGTCTAGGCAGTTGGGCATGAAGCATGCTTGAATTGAGCGCTTGGACTTACATGTCAATGTGGGGAGCCACAACAACACACAAGTATCAACCACCAAAAACCTAGGCTCCAGTTGCACGGCGAGAGTATGCCGTGCCGTGATGTGTCGAGAGCTTCATGGGATCAAGTGTTTATGTCTCATGGTACCCTAAGGGTCCAAATGCCCAAACAGTAAGGTACAGGTCCCAAGGGCTATCTTTTGATTGGTTGTAGGCGTTTCCAATCCCTAAACCCTAAACCCTAAACCCTAAACCCCACACCTTGACCCTAAAGCCTAAGTTCCTAAGTCCGCGAATCCCGAGCCCTCACACGGTAAACCCCGAATTCGCACATGTATTATGATCTACTTCAAGGTCAACGTCTGTGTTCCTACTTGGAGGTTCATGGGTAGTTATAAATGTAGTTCTAAGTCCCCTAATATGGGTTATAAGTGTAGTTACCCTACTTATAACCCACTTATAACTACCCATGAACCTCCAAGTAGATGGGTACAGATGGAGGCTCAGTTGCTCGCAAGTTGTTTTGCGCTGATGCTGCTTCCTTCTCGTTCACAGCTTTCCCACGGAGGAGGGCCTACTTTGGCCTGAAAGTCAGTCATGTCGGCCGATAAAGCAAGGCGTCACTAAACCCACGAAATCACCTGAGCCTGAGCCTTAAACAAAAAACCCTGGAAACTTGGACAGCAAGCTCACGATTCTTGAATCCTACACCGGGGATCGGAAGCTGAACCTGTGAACTCTAAGCCAGGACCAATGACTTTTGGGCAGCACGAAGCCAAGGTGCCCAGCTTCGAACCGTAAACCCTCTACCTCCTCAATCCGAAATATCCCCGAAACACTGAACCATACCAAAGCCTCAGACCCAACTACTGCACCCTACACCCCACATACTTAATAGGCCCGTATGGTAGCATTTGCAGAAGCCGCTTGGTGCTAAAACCCCTAAACCCAAAACACAACCCCAAACACCCTATACCCGCATATCGTGCCCCGAACACCCTGAACCCATAAAATCAAAACTACCCCCCGAAACCCCCCACACCCTACACCCCTATTACCCTCGAGTCTCGTACTGCCTTGCGGGCACCCAGAGATGGGTGCTTGGTCCCATGTGCGAGAGCGGGCTACGCCGCTTGCAGCGCGATCTGAAAACGATCCAGGCGGGTAGTAGCGGCTTGATTGGGGTAGTGTTTCTTCAGGGTCGACGGGTTCAGCACTCTAGGACGAAATATTATTTATGTTTTTAAGCTAGGTCCAGACGCATACATATCGGCACAGCAGCCCATCACAACCGAGACCCGACGCCTGAAGTTTTTGAAGGCCCACAACCTTCCACATCAAACCGAAAATGAAAGCAACCCTACAGGTATCCCAAGCATCCGTATACAAGTCAACAAGCCGCAAGCCCAACCATGACACACAAAAGGTAGCCCTAAACCCTAGAAGCCCTAATCCGTTCATCGAAATTCGAAGGAGCTGGCATAGAGCACTGGAAACGGGTAGGTCGAACTAAGTGAATCGGTTTAGGATTCAGGGACTACCTATAGTCTCCATTGTAGTTCCTTTTGGTGGTTACCTTTTCGGATCCTTAACATAAAAGTGGTTAAACCCAAAAAAGGAACTACAATAGAGACTGTAGGTAGGGTTTTTTGGATTTATAATGGGTTTACAGGTTTCAGGGGTGAGAGTCTCTGGTATCTGGATCGACAGGCTGCTTGAACTGATTGTTCCAAGCAACACCTTCTACGGTTGATGATATAAATCCTGCATTACCTTAAGGACCTTAATGGTATGGGAATTATGGTATATTCCTTATTATGGCTAATGCAGGGTTTATATCATCAACCGTATCTTATTTTGAGCACTGTGTTCCTCCCCTGTGTTACATTCGTCTCACCATCTAGCCTTAGGCCCTAAGCCTTACCGACCCTAAACGCTGCCTGCTGAAACCCGCCCCCCCACACCCCCCACACCCCACCCCCCACCCCCGAAAGGCCATAAACCTAAAGCCTTGAGCCTTAGCCATCACCATACAAGGACTTAGAGGCTCAAGGTGGACTTAACCCAAAGGGTGAAGGCTTTGGGTTTGGGCGCCACTAACAGTATATACTATAGTATGTGCTTTTTGGGGGGTCACATATACCCTAAACCCTACCCCTAGACATATACTCTAAGAACCTGCTATTTTGGAACTTGGACCCGTTGGGTAAGTAGAAACAGCATTCCACCTGTAAGTTGCCTCTTGCTCCTGAAGTCCAAAACCGCCTCAGCAGGAAATCACAATCTGCAACTAGCCGACCAAAATCGTCCAAAAACAGCAACTTGTGTAAGAGTGATACCCTGTAATTAGTTAAGGGGATCATAACCTGCTATGTCGCAGAGCTTGGGAATACAGATAAACCCCAAGAGCATTAGACCCCAAGCCCTGATGATCCTAAGCCCTACACCCCAAGTACCACAAGATGCTAAAGCGTCCTAAACCCTAAAAACCGTAAACCTAAATCCAGGGCGAGGGAGGCTCCCCGACAGTGCACGTTTCTCCACGAGGACTGCACTGCTTGCGTGCGGTGGCCTAAGGCCTAAGGCTCTACAATAAGCTGCATAATTTAGGGTTTAGGGTTTTAGGGTTTAGGGTTGGCAACCGGATTAAGGTTAAATAGTGCTGGGATTCCTTATACATTACTCTTATAAGGATAGGCTATTGGGTTTCCAACTTTTAGGCTTGCAAGCCTGAGTGAAAGATTCCGAAATTTGGGGACCCTAATATCGTACCCTAAATTGTAGGATCCTTTTAAAATGGACCCCGAAATAGGGTACCCTTAATATGGTACCCTAAGCAGTAGGATGCTTGTTCTAAGGACCCCGAAATACCCCTAATTTTCGGCAACTCCCGAGTCTCTGAATCCCTAAACCCCTCAGCAATGAACTTGTGGTTTAGGGTTTAGGGGTTTAGGGTTTTGGGTTTAGGGTTTAGGGCAAGAACACACGGGCACAACAACAAGCGAGCATGTTTCAAGCACAAGGAGATGACTTATCCTGTCTCGACGCATTGGTTATCGGGCCTCCGGACACACCCTACGATGGCGCGTTGCTGCCACTTCGCCTTGAGAGTTTCAGGTTTAGGGTTGCGGGGTTTGGAGTTTCAAGTTTAGTTTGTTGTAGGGATGTACCGAGGAACTTCTTTCAGTCAGAGAGTTTCTATACGACCTTATTGTGGTTAGGGGTTTGTTGCTTTTCGGGTATTGTGTTTAAGTCTGGGATTTCGTGGACAGGGGTTTCAGGGTTTAGGAGTTTAGGGTCCAGGTTTCGCGGTAAGGGCGCAGGGATTGGAGTTCAATGCTTTTAGGATTTTGGAGGTTGAGGGCGCCGTGTTTAGGTCTTGGAGGTTTTGAGGTTCGTTTGGCAATAAATATATAGTCCTGTGCATGGCATTCCAAGTTTCTCGCATCCTTGTTTACGCTATGTTTTGGTATACCCTGAAACCCAATGCCAACAAACATCAGCCCACATCAGCCCGTTACATGAGTCATGGCTCTGCAGCAAGGGCTGCACAGCACCAAAGCCTAAAATCCTAAACCCTGCAACACCTGCCTTAGGGTTACTTAGAAATAACGTTTAATTTTTGGTTATTAGAATCCCTAAGAAACAGCTAAAATTGAAATTTTTGCTAGGGTTCTAAGTTCTGTATAACTGCTTGCCGAGGCATTTTCAGCTCCAGGTGTCTGGCAGCTACCCATTGAACCCGCCTGAGGCGGAAGAGCTCTGGGGCCATTGGGGTTTCTTATTGGCTGTAATCTCAACTTTTCAACTTTTGGGTTTCTTATAAGGTAATCGATTCTGAAAGTTTCAACTTTTATTCCCCCGGTTTTGGGCCAGTGAGGTTTAGGGTTTTGGGAGTGAAGGAAGGGCCTTGGGGTTTGGGGGTTTAGGGCCGCGGGCTTGGGGTTTACTGAGGTTGACGTTGGGAGGCTTTGGGATAAGAGTTCAGGGCTTAGGGTTTGCATGTTCTAGATGGCACATTGCACGTTGGGTCTTCTCTTAATCAGACTCCCTTTGAGCCTGACGCACTGGCGTCATGGATCCATCAGGGCTACAGCCATGGTACAGCACAGGATCTGTGACGGTATGTAGGGGTTGACCCGTGCTTACACATACAACTGCACGATCTTATAGGAAGGTGCAGGCCTGCCACGTCTCTTACTCCGCCTCCGGCTGCTACTCTTAGCAGTACGACTTCCGCTGTGCTGTTCATGTGACCATTGCTAGTGCACTGCTTCAATACCACCACATCCACCGTATTACTATACTACTGCCGCTCCTGCTGCTGCTAGTGCTACTGCTAATGCCGCTCATGCTATGAACGACTTTTGAATCGAAAGAGCTAGTCCCAGATGGACCGACGCGCCGTGTTCAAGAAATACAAATTGAAAATTGTGGTAGAGGAGTCTTTGACACCATAAACTACCACAGCCTGCGTTTGTTTGTAGGTTCTTGTACATGTTACAGACTCTATGTTGTAGAATATCGGGACCCTACACAGAAGTAGGTTTTGGAAGTTCAAGGTACAGTGTAACCCCTACCTACAAGCCCCATGCGGGAGGTGCGATTTCTGACGACGGAAGCCGGCAAGCTCCGGCTACATCCGCAGCTCTATGCCGACGGCCGCCCGGCAAAAGGACTTAGAGTTTAATTAGGGGCTGAATGAAACAATGTAGTTTCAGACGTAGCGCTCTTTTTTTCGTTTTGGCTGAGTGTACAGAGGGCTTCCTATGATCTTTGATGAGTGTGCAACTATATGATGTTATGTGTATGGCGGGGGAAGCTAGTAGTGAAACGCTGCACCATATGCAGAAACTTTTTTTCAATTTATCTTCAAGGTACATTAGCCTCTTCCTGATGTTCAGGTCTGTTGGACCCGCGGGGTAATTCAAGAGACCTCGCAGCCTCTGAGCTGTAACAGCGGATGGCAAAGCTAGAACCGACGGAATTAGTGCTACAGTGCCACTCTTCTGAATATGCAGGAGTCTATCACCAACACCTATTCCAACAGTCAAGGTCCCGGGTACGAAACCTGATACTACACTTTTATAGAGCCAGTTGAAGAATCCCGTAAGAAAGCATCCGAGAAAAACTTCACCTTTAAAGGAACCCTATTCTAAGCAATATTCAGGCCAGCTAGGTTGTGGCACTTAAAAAGCGCGTACGCCTCTCCCTAAGCCGTAAACTTTTTTCGGGATCGAACCACCAAAATGCCGAACAGTTAATGCCCTGCCCTGCACCCCTAAACCTTACGCAATCCCTCAACCACGTAAAGAACTCAAAAGCCCTAAACCCGAAATGGCCTAAATGCCCAAAACCCTATCCCCTGAAGGGCGAAGCCCTAAAGACCTCAAGAAAAACCTCGACTAAACTGACTATAGTAGAAGCCCAAAAGTTGGAAACCCAATAGCCTCCATCCTGAAGAGTAATGTATAGGGAATCCCAGCACTATTTGGCCTTAATCCGGTTTCCAACTTTATGGGGTTTAGTGTGCGCCCTTCAACCAAGGAAAGGTTTGCCTCAGCATCCTCGGTACTTGGCATGGTCCCCGATGGACGGCCAGCTCCAGCATCAGAACGGTGCCCTGGGATTGAGGGTTCTTTTAGGGTTTAGGGGTTCTTTTAGGGGTCTAGGAGTCTGAGGGGTTTAGGGTTGAGGGTTTAGAGTTCAAGGTTAAGATATTTGGGTTTAGGATTTATAGGGGTTTGGGATGCAGGATCTGGGGATTTTAGTTCCAGGTTTTTGGTTGGGGATTTCCGGCTCAGGGTTCAGTGCTTAGGCCATCTAGGGTTGAGGGCGTCTGGGGTTTAGGGATTAGGGTTTGGGGGGGGGCTCAGGACTTCAAGCAACCCCTTAAGTTTCCGTAGCCGTTGTTTTCAAGGGCTTTAAGGTAAAATCCAGAAAGTTGGAATATGATTATCCTAACCCTTCTATGGTAAATTATAGGGTATCCTACCATGAAACCATATTCCAACTTTCTGGAGTTCCCTGTAAGGGGTTCTTTAGGGGTGGTGTAATTGTTCTTTGAAGGTTCCTCCAAGGCTCTGGGGTTCGGTAGCAGGGACTTTGTTGGATTCTGCTATCACGTTTCTTTGAGGTCTTCTTTGGGGGGTTGTAGAAAGGAGGTTCTAGCTTTCAGGATTCTATTCCAGCTCTCTTTGAGGGTTGTATAGGGAGTTCTAGACGGAGTTTTGGGGACTAGGGGAAATCGGGTTGTGGGATTGAAGGTCTTGCGGTTCAGGGCTTGAGGCTTTTGAGTTTAGGGTTGTTGTGTTCCACAATTAAGGTTTGATTTGGCAGGGTTTGGGGTTTCGGTTTGAGGGTCTACCAGTTTTCAAGTTTGGGGGGGGGTTGCCCCGGCAAAGAGCTCACAAGGCTGTAGCCACCCGGAAAACAAGGGAAGTAAGTAGAAGTCCACATAAGTAGAAGGATTCGCCTTGTAAGCGTCCCTTATCCCAAAGATAGGACCCGTGTCTTTAAGCGAGCTTGTGGTGTCTCATAACCCGAAATCCCCTGAACCATTGTAAGCCTGAACGACCCCCCCCCCCCCTCTCAATTAGCACGAGCCGGGAAAGAAAGCCCTAATACCATCCTGCGCTCCAAAGTGATGTTGTTTTTGGTACAGGTCGGTTTGGGGGAAGCGAGTCCAGGGATCCAAGGGGATTAACCTGTTTAGGGATCGCCCCGAGTTGTGAATATGCTTTCGGGCTTACCCAGAGTAGAATTTAGGCTTGCAGGTAGGGTTTCGGGCCTGTAGGTAGGGGAACTGAGGATTGCAGAAGAATAGCCGCAATCCTGCTTGTAGGTGGTGTATGCTGGTTGTGTTCTTGTATTTTTTGGGGGTGTTAGATTTTTAGGTTTTAGACGGTTTAGGTCCCGTGTCTCCCAGCCGGAAGTCTTGTCTAATGCTACGACGCTGTACACACCCAAATTTACAGCGCTTGTCCAGGAATCACGGCTTCAACTTTGAACACTCAACTCCCGACCCCTGAACCCCATTAGTGAGCCCTTGCATAACCCTTCTAAAATCCGTAGAGCCTTTTTTTTAGCCCTTGGATCTTAACTTGTTTGCCCTAAACCCTATAAACCTATACACCCCAGGCCCTAGACCAAACCAAAGAGGGGTTGTAACCCTAAGGGTCCACGTACCTAATAGTCATATACTCTCCAAAATCCTAACCTACATAACTTCTATCCTAAAACCGAGTACCTAATTATTGGGTCCTTTGGACCCGTGGGGTAAGGGCTCAACTCATCAGGTACTCCTCTCCATCCAGTCTCTCCTCTGTGAGGCCACGCCGTAGAAGTTCTGGAACCCACGGGATTCCCCCAAAGGCTCCATGTACCTTTGTAGTAGATAAAAAATCATTTCCTTAAAGGGTACATGGAGCCTTAGGGTCCGTTTCGGGATTAAGGGTGTTGGGGTTTTATAGGGTGGTGTGGGGTGTTGATGGAGTCCTTAAGGGTTTTCAGGTTTGTGGCGGGTTCAGACAAATTGCAAAAAAGGGTGACTTATTTAATGGGTCCTGGCAGTACGGATCCTACCATCTGGGATTCTGCATTCGGGCCCCGGATCTTCTGAAACCCTAAACCCTAAACCCTAAACCCCCTAAACCCTAAACCCTAAACCCTAAAACCATCGGCTTAGGCTTAGGGTTGGCTGGGTCCCAAGTCCTAATCTCTCACCCCTGAGCCCTGCTACATCAACCGCCCAAGAACTCTGCACTGAACCCCAAACCGTCAACCCACGGTTTAGGGTTTAGGGGGTTTAGGGTTTAGGGTTTAGGGTTTAGGGTTTGGGGTTTAGGGTTTAGGGGTTTTGATGGATTTCAGTTAAGGGGGTTGGGGTTGAGGCTTGTTGTAAAGACGCCAGTGGAAGATGTCCAACATGCGCCATCCTTGTGCTCGGGAAGAACCAGTATTGGGATTTGGGGTGTGGGGCAAAGTAAGAAACTAGGACCTGGAGTAGGCCCTTATTCCATTTTTTTTTAGGGTTCAGGTTCCCTTAAAATCCCCTTTAAACCAAAGGGGCACACTTTATATTCCAGGTTACTCTTGGGTCCCGGAACCCTAAACCCCTATAGATCCCTTAGAGGAAACCTTATAGTACCCCTTTTATTCCTAGGTTACTCTTGGGTCTAGTAAACCTTCAGGTCGTACAGCAAACACCCGAGTTCGGGGTTTTGAATTCAGGGCTTTGGGTCTGAACAAAAACAGGGCCTAAGCTGTAGTATATATGGGCCTTAGTAATTAGAGTAGGGTTTCCGGGTAAATAGCACCATAATCCTAATAAGGATCCACCAGAAAAGTGTAGGTACTGACTAAGGTCCCTACAGTAGATGTTGATGCACAGCCCTACACCCGCAACCCCCTAAACCCCGTAAACCCTAAGCCTGGGAGCCGCAGGCCGCCAAACTCAAACCCAAAGCCCGCCTATCCACCGAAAACCCTACAGCCCAGATTCTACATCCCGCCCTTGACACCGGTTGCCTTAAGCTTAGGGCTTGCAGGCCTACAGCATGGCAACTTGCTGGCTTCTTCCTGAATCGTGCATGGTTGCAGCAGGGAAACGGATGGATCCAGGTCAGGGCCTTCCCAGCAAGGCGCGCACGGCGGTGAAGCAGGTCCGATCGAACGCAGCCGCACTGTTCACGGGCGTGGCCAACGCGGCGTCAAAGATGGCGCAGTCACTGCGCGAGCAATTCGACCGGGGACGACGCCCTGTCGGCGCTGGCCCTGTCGTAGTGAGCAGAGCACGAGATCTTCATGACGAACAAGCAACTTCATCGAACCGCTTGGGAACAGCTCCCCCTGGGGACCTCACTCGGCTGCTGTTGAACGTGGCCTTTCGCAGAATAGAAGCTCGACAGTGCAGCTGTCAAAGGACACAGCCCTTAAGCTCGCAAGGAGTTGTACTATAGGGGCCGAAATAGTTACCTGTTCTATTTTGGGGGGGGTCCTTATTATGACTATAGTATAATGGGCCCCAAAAGCCTATTCTAATTATTAAGGCTCCTACACTAACATATGAAGCCCCCAACCGCAGCCGTCAGCCCCCAAGCTCTTTAAAAGGTTCGTGAACTCGAACACTCCCCAAACACCTTGAAGACTAAACCCTAAAACCCCAAGCCCTGAACCCTCAACTGCCCTAACCCCCAAACCCACTTCTCGAAACCCTATTTTTGGAATCCTCGGGCCTTTGCTAGGTTGGGCATTTGGGACGTTTTTTCCTTATTTGGTTTTATATGGGACCCTATATATAAATATTTTTCAGTGTGTTTAAAGGCCCACCCAGTTTATTAGGGTTCTTTATAATATGAATCCTATTTGGGGTTATAGAGCCAGGGTTTCTTAATCAGATTCCTACATTACCGTAAACCCTCAACCCCCATAGCTCCCTTTTAGAACCCCTTAAGGATCCCTTATAGGTCCCTTTGTAGGAACCCTTGAAAAAGGGAATCAGGTTCCTACGTTAAACACTCAACCCAAAGTCTGAACCAAAGCCAGAAGCCGCGACTCGTTTGCGCGCTGAAGGCTACCAAAGTCTTAAAGCCACGCACCCCAGGCGCAACAACAAACACACTGCAAAAGAAGTGGGGTTTAGGGTTTAGGGTTAGCTATAAACTTACACATGCTCAATAAGCTATCAACATATAGATAAGTAAACATCCGTAGACAGCAGTACGAACATGTATCTGCACGTACAGATATGCAGCGACATGAGCATACTTGTGACCACAAGAGCGTGAAGCATGTGAGCGATGTTGGTATATGTCTATAGTTAGAACTCAACATACATGGCCCTACATAAATGTATGTGTATATGTATATATATATATATATAGACGTATGTACATTTCTGTATATAGATATGCACACGTATTGTATATGTATGTATGTATGCATGCATATATATATATATGCATACATATGTACGCAGGTGGTTGGTTAAATGCTACAGATCGGGAGAGAGGGCCCGCGAGAAGGATCCACTTCGATGTGAGCCCGGCATGGAGACAGCTCCAGACGACAAGGCGCAATGCCCAGACCTTTCAAGGGTAGGGTTTAGGGTTTTATAGGGTTTGATAGGGTTCAGGGTGACGGGATCCCTACTATGATTCAAGGTAGTGTCCAAGTACCAAAATATTCATATACTCTCCCAAATATGAACTTAGATAACTGTTTTCCAGAACCAAAGTACTCTTTTAGACCTAATGTCGTTGCTTAAAGGACTTTGGAGGGTCTGGGTGGTCAAGCTTTGATTGGGTTGGGTCTGAGTTGATTAGGGTTACCAGTTTGTGGTGGTTAAATTGGGCTTAGGTTAGGTACTGCCCCCATAAAGTAAGAGTCTGTAATAGGGCTACTATTGAGGTCCTAATGTATCTACATTATGAATATTATTCAACTGTTACTGAGTGGGGGCCGTACCCAAGGCTTAGGGCTTCAAGTTTAGAAGGTCTTGAGCCTGACAGGGCTTTCAGGAGCTCTTACAAGCCCAAAGGGTCCAAAGTACCTTTATAGTATTTATAGTAGGTTGTAGGGTTTCTATTTTAGGAATCACTATTATGATTTGGGGAAGTATCTCCCATAACAGTACTTTGGACCCTGTGGGAAGTAATACGGCTCCTGCACTTCAGGGTCTACTGTAGGGGTCTTTGTTTAACACTTAGGGTTTAGGGCTTAGGGCTTCGCAGAATTAGGGTCGCATGGGCAGGGCTGTGGGCTTCTTTGTTTTTATCTAGGGCGTCACCAAATTACCTGGATCCTGAAGAACGTACCTTGTCAAGACATTATACAAGGAAATCCCAGTGGCCCCTATGGGTAGTTAGGATCGGACTAGGTAGCGCCTATGTTAGATCGTACCGGTTTTAGCGGTTTGAGGGTTTTGGGTTCAGGGGGTTTAGAGTTTGGGCAGTCCTAGCTATAGTCTCCTTTGTAGTTCCTTCTCTGGTTTAAGCAGTTGTATTTGGGGGGATCCTAAGGTACCCCAAACAGGAATTCCAACGGAGACACGAGGTATGCGAGTTCCGTTTTGCACGGTAAACCCTAGAAAACTGGAAACCTGATTGAGGACAAGTCGTGCTGAGATTCCCTATGTATTTCTCTTAATACGGATTGAAGCTACCCTAAACCCTAAACCCTAAACCCTAAACCCTAAACCCTAAACCCTAAACCCTTTTTAATTATCTTGTTTTTAACTTTTGGTCTTCTACTATACTTGTAAGGTTGAAGGCTTGGCTCGGGGATCGGATCTGGAGCTTCAGAAGCACGGATTTGGATTTGCGACTCACGGTTGCGATTTGAGGATACTAGAGTTGCAGGCTTTGGGGTAGTTAGGCTAGGTAGAAATTTGAGGCTCTAGCGCAGTTAGCTTTCGGGTTTTGTGCAAAGGTTTGTTGATTCCACAGCTCTGATGGTCCTGGCCATTCATGATGGACGAAAAGTGCTGCTCGCAGCAGAAACGTTTACCATGATCGTTTAGCCGGAAGGTTCCAGAGACTTGTCTGCTACAATTTCAAGTACTAACCTACCACTAGTTCTTCCAACCCATTCAAGCACCAAAGACATGGTGAATACAGTAAGCTCTAAATATCTCTGACTGGTGACCACTATGGGCTATTCGACCCTAAAGATCCCTATTAGGACCCTATTAAGGGTAGATTAAGGTACCCATAAGGTCTAATAGCCCCAACCCAACCCTAAACCCTAAACCCTAAACCCTAAACCCTAGCCCATAGTGGGAGGTTGAGCTGGCGAACGTCTTCGTCGTCCATGAGTCTGTGCGAGTGGGAGTTCGAAGCCCAGCGGTGACCGAGCTTCATCTAGGGTTTACCTCTAGTCAATAGGGTTTTGGGGCCCATTATACTATAATTCTAATAAGGAAGCCCCAAAATAGTATAGGTAATGATTCAGGCCCCTATACTTATAGTCTCCATTGTAGTTCCTTTTTTTGGTTAACCAATTTTATGGTTAGGGCCCTATAATAGAGATTTTGGTTAACCAAAAAAGGAACTACAATGGAGACTATAGGTAGGGTCTAGGGAGGACGCAGGATTTATGAAGATGGGGCGAAGATGGGGCACGTCCATTTAGGAGTTCCCAACGGTCAGGAGTTGTCGGTTTCCGGAAGCAGGATTCAGGGTTTATTCTGTCACGGTTTGGTTTTAAATAGGGCAAGGAATTACAAACCCGGAACCCTAAGCCCTAAACCCTCAAACCCCGAACCCTGAACCTTAAACCCTGAAGCCTAAAGCCTAAAGCCCTAAACGGCGGAAACTCTATACCGATGTATTCCTTAGGTTTGGGATGCCTGAGTGTTGTTCTACTAAAGTCTCCTTATGAATTGAATTTGTTTAATAAAAGACCTAAGGGATTGTTGAACCTTCTATTGTTATAAACCGTAAACCCTGAAGTCCAGGGGGCCCAGCCATGGCTTTTGCCTTTCGGGTTGAAGGTTCGGGACTCGGCTAGCGGCTGAAATGGGAGAGCTTGCGGCTTTAAGCTTAGAGCATGTCATACAGGTTCATGTGCCCAAATAGTACATATATACTTGGGCACTAAAGTACTTAAAGCCCAAAGTATTTGCTTTGAGCACATGGACCCTTATATACTCTAGATAAGATATGGGACCCTGATATAGGACCCTTTAAGGAACGTAGGTCGATGCTTCCTACCTTTGGTTTATCTCAGAAGGGGCCCCCACCCTGTAATAGTGGTATAATATGAATATAACAGGGCCCTACTTATAGTGACTATTACAGGGTGGGGGCAGCTTCTAAGGTTTATCTTTGGCAACCATCGCCTTCCTGTTTCCGGTCTGTTGAGCTCACTTTCAGGTTCATGGGGAGTTATAAGGGGGATCATAAGTAAGGTAAATATAGTTATATGCCATATTCGGGGACTTATAACCCCATTTATAACTCCCCATGAACCTCCAAGTACAAGCCTACTACAACCCTGAACCCTAAATCTAAAACCCTAAACCCTGTATGAAACCCTAAACCCCACAGTTTTTGCGGTTTGAAGATGAACCTCCAAGCAAACTCCATGTTGCAGATCCTTTCGATGCTGGAAAGTGGGCCATCCTGGGGCGAGGAGGCCGGCAGAGATCAGATTGCGTTTAGGCTTGTTTAGGGTTTTGGGGTTTAGGGGTTTGGGGTTTAGGGGTCTAGGGTTTAGGGTTTAGGAATTAGGGTGGGCTTGTGTCTGCGATTTCGGATCACACGCCAAGAAAGCGGTTGAAAGAAGGGATCCGAGGCCTTTCATGCAGAGCTCATCTGACCATTGATATCGGAGGAGCTAAGGAGCCAGGGATGATGATAATCCCTAGTAAATAAGGAGCTAAAGAGCCAAGGGAACCCCAAAACCACTGCTTAGGCATTTTCTTGGGTCCAGTTTGCCGAATCAGACGCCGGACAAAGACCCGCAGCCAGATCTCAGGAGGTGCCGCAGGTGTGGCATGATCTCCTACTATTAGGGACCCAAAAAGCACATAAGCATAAGCATTTTATAGGGATATCCCTACCTTATTGGGCTTCATTATAAGGGAATTTATATGGGATATCCCTATCCTAGTTTTTGCTTATGTGCTTTTTTGGGGCCCTATACTACCAAGGAGGATGTTGCGTGAACGCTCGCTGCGAGGGGTACACGGGCCGCTGCGGGCCGGACAGCAAATGCGCCCATGCGGGCCGCAAAAGCAAGGCCAACTACGAGGAACAAAGGAAGAAGAAGCGAGGCTCTCGAGAACAGAAACATGTGTAAAGAGTATTGGCTCAAACGAAGCCAACCGGTTGTTTAGGGTCGAGCATCTGAATGCTCAGGAAGGTTGCAACGGGTAATTCCTGCCACACGTGGTCTGGAAGCTCCACAGAATGTCAAACGAAAGTGCTAGATTTAGCAGCTTCCTTCTGCCCAAACAGGATGCTTAGAAACGGAATTCACACCCTCAGTCCTACACCCTCAGTCCTAAACCTTCTTTTGGGGAGAGGGAGGTTAACTTTACTCAGGGCTGCCTTATTCGGGAGAGGGAGGGGTTCTTATATTCAAGATCCTACCTATGGTCTCTGTTGTATATAGTTCGGCTTTTGGTTAAGCAGTTTATGGTTAGGATAGGACCCGGTGATGTAGAACCGCTTACCCAAAAGATAAAGAGGCGCTGCTCAGGGTCTACACATTGGGTTCGCGTTCTTCTGAACTTCCCATAGAGGCACCCGGCCTAATGGATTACCAATGTTATTCCTAGGGGTCCCTTATCATAAAAAACAGTATTATATATACCTCAAAACCCTACTCTAGCTGTTAAGGCCGCTACACTCTATGATATACCTCAAAACCCTTCTCGAACTATTACGTAAGGCCCCTACAATACTTCCATGCTTTAGAGCCTGTTGCTGTGAGCCCCAAAACCAGGGCAGAGGTTTTAAGTTCCCGGCAGCCCAAAGAAGTTTCGACAACTGCTTTAGGGAGTACTAGGAGGTTCATGGGTAGTTATCAGTGGGGTTATAAGCCCAGTAATATGGGTTATAGCTACAGTTACCCTATATACTTTTAACCACACTGACCATGAACCTCCAAGTAGGACCAAGAGTGAAGGCCCCAAGCCCATGAAGTCGAGTGTGTTGTTGCCAGTGGGTGTTAACGACACTTCGTCTGTGCCGGGCGGAACTATAATCTCGACACAAGCTTAGTTGTGACAGGTAGTGCTGTCAGTGTTCTATGCCGTCCCACTCTGTTTAGGATTCTGGGTTCGCAACTGTTTGTCATTTGCATCATTTTGAACTGGCAATTCGGCTACTTCTCGCAGTCGTCGTAGTACTTTTCGTCGTAGCATGGTGGCGGAAATTCGCTGACGAATATACGGATTCTCGTTGTTCCCACGTGTTTAGCACCGTGCTTGGCAATGCAGTGTTTCGTTGTTTCCCAGTAGGGACAGGATTTGATGTTTAGGATTCCGCCACTCATCTGGGTCACACAGCACACCAAACCTTCACTCCTACAGGCCACGGCCATAGCCCCTGATCTCTATGCCTGTCATTCCCTAGATCCTCATCCCGAATCCTACATAGTCTTTCGAAACCTAAACCCCTCGACAATCAAACCTACACCCTAAACCTTAAACCCTTATAGCCGAACCCTACATCGTCTTGCGAATCCGAATTCCCTACACCCCTAAACTCTAAGTCCCTAAACCCCTAAACCTCTAAACACTAAACCCCTAAACCAACAATGCCCTAAATCCCTAAAGCCCTAAACCTCTAAGCCCTAAACCCAAAAATCCCTGTATCTCTAATGCCCTCCGGCCACGTTCTTTGTGTCGTCAGGAGTCAGCTCAAGTTCTAACTTCTGCAGCCTGGGTCGGGCCCTTGGGTTTCGGGTTTATAGGACTTTAGGATTTAGGACTTTAGGGCTTAGGGTTGGGGGTGAGTGCGGGCAAGCTTTTGAAGAGTGTTATATCGACCGGCTCTGAAAAGCTAAGGCTCGGGATTTTCAACTATCTGTGGGACTGTGGGCTATGGCGGCTAAGGGTAGTTTGTACATGATTTGGGCTCTGCTCACTCTTCCTTGAAATTAATTTAGTCAAAAGGGGTCCGGTAAAAAGGCTGTTTACGTTCTACAGTAAACCCCATACAGTTGGAAACCGGATTAAGGCCAAATGGTGCTGGGATTCCCTATACATTACTCTTAGGGGTGGAGGCTATTGGGTCTCCAACTTTTGGGCTTCTACTCTAAGGCCGAACTACAAGCCTGAGTGGAACCCTAATATAGTACCCTAAGCAGTAGGATCCTTGTTCTAAGGACCTCGAAATAAGGTACCCCTAGTTGGTAAGGGTTTGGGCTCTTGGGATCTCCAACATCTTCAGCACCCAATTCTTGTCGTGTTGTTGACTTTGTTTTGGGGTTTTGGGGGTTCCGAAAAAGGACCCAAACATGAACTTTTGGTTGGGATATCTTAGAAGCTGCCCCCACCCTGTAATAGTGGTATAATAGAATATAATAGGGCCCTAATATAATCCTTATAGTAGCCTTATAGTCACTATTACAGGGTGGGGGCAGCTTCTAAGGGATATCCCTACCTCGTTGCTTTGTTTATAAAGGGGCTTTTGGGGATATCCCCACCTGCTGTTTTTTGTTTAGGTGCCAATTGGGGTCCCTAGTTTTAGAGTGTAAGAGCATGGTGTGAGGCCCTGAGCCCAGAACTCTTCGGAGCCTCTAGGCACCTGTTGGTGTCGTGGTTACGGTTTAGGGTTTAGGGTTTTAGGGTTTAGGGTTTAGGGTTTAGGGTTTTAGGGTTAAGGGTTGTTACAGCTATGCTTAATTGATCTGATCTGAATTGTGTACATAGGGGGTTTCCAAGATCCAAGGGCAATCGAGCCAAGTCCTCTGAAGCCCTAAACCCCGAAACCCCTAAACCCTAAACCCAAACCTTATATCCCCAAACCCTAAACCCTAAACCCCCATGCCCCACCAGAAACTGCGCCGCTCCTCGCCACAGCATTTTGCATCTTCCCAGACGTAAGTCGCCGCATCTCCGTTTCCCCATCGCACCATGAGCCACATGGTGCCCTGGCACGGTTTAGGGTTTAAGGGTTAGGGTTTAGGGGTTTAGGGTTTAGGGTCTAGTGTCTCTTTAAGGGTTTGGTGTAATTAGGGTTTAGGGATCAGGTTGCCCTTGCTGCAGCCGGCCCAGGCTCCTTAATGGTTCTGTGAGGGTTTCTCGCATTTCAGGCTGGTTCAGGGCTTGGGGCTTCAGGGTTGTCGAGTTTTCCTGTGATTTCGGACTTATGCTCTAAAATTTTGGCCCTAAACCCTAAACCCTAAACCCCAGAGTTGTAGACCTGTTTCGAGCCCCCCGAGACCCTGGTGGAGCCCCCGAACCCCTTGACATTGATATAGCCTAGGACCCAGCGTAGGCCCTTCTTCTTTTTTGTTGTGGTTCAGGTTCCCTTATAGGCCCCTTTAAACCAAAAGGGCATCCTTCTTGTTCCTAGGTTGCTCTTGGATCCCGTAAAACACTGAACCCCCCTTAACCCCGAACCATAAAGCAGCCCCGAACAAGGGACCCCATAAATTCAAATCCGAGGACCCGAATCCCAAAGCAGTGAGCGGTTTAGGGCGCAGTAAGGTCTAGAGTCTAAGTCTAGGGGTAGGGATCGTATGGGAAACTTTTTGTAGCCATTGTTTGGCCCAAATCCAGCAGCCATGCCCCGTTTATGCCGTAAGGACATACCGAAAAAGCCTCGTTAAACACAACTATTTCAACTGGAGGTTGTTTGTAGCATCGCCAGAGCGTCCATATGTATTACCGCTGGAATTTGGTTCCCAAGCCAGTATCGTCGAGGTCTCCCGGGGCTTGATTCCAATATGGTTGTACCTGGTAGTACCCTAAGGATCAAAATAGCCCAAAAGCCTTCTATAGTATGTTCTTTGGGCCCAAAAGCCTTAATATATGAGTCCTTAGATCCCTAGGGGTACTGGTTAACAAGCAAGTTTATGCTGATGTCCTAGTCCAGTTGATGTCCGACTCTTGACTCTGAGAATCCCTGAAACCCAATAACCCTCATCCCCAACCCCCCAAAGCTTCAGCATAAACCCTCTCAGCCTTCATCCCTAAGTCCTAAACGCCTTGAATCCGGGACCCTTAAACCGTAATCCGTCAAACTTCGAACACTCTATAATGCGTAAGCCTTTGCTCTCCGAAGCCTAAAGCCTTAACCACCCCAATATCAACCCCTTTAAACCGCTCATAAGCCCCGTTGCAAAGAAGAACTTTTAACGCCTGGTATGTAAGCTTAAGGAATATACCCTAAGTCACATTGGGGATCCTATTATGGTTTAAGGCATATTCCTTAATTAAGGGATTTTGGAAGGTCTGGGAGATGTAAATCATCACGCCTAAACCCGTCTCAAAAAGATTACAAAGGCAAAGATCGCGTAGAGAGCCCATTCTAAGCCGCTTTAGAAGAAACAAGTAAAAGCAAACAAAGCCCTAAAGCCCTAAAACCCCTAATATATACAATCGCAGCACAAGAACCAACTAAGCATAAGACGAGGAAAATTAGGTAGGGCTTTGGGACATGTTACATTTGCTGTTATTGGGCTTAAGAGGGTCTTACCTACTATGATTCTTCAAAGGCTTTAAATACGCAACACCTAGATATGGTTTCATGTAATATCTCATCATTTACTGTAGATCTCCCTAACCCTAAGGCTCCATGTACCCATATAGTATATACTTAGGCCTTAAAGTACCTGAAAAGCGACCCCATTAAGGTTTAAGTATCTACTATAAAGGTACATGGAGTCTTTGGGTATCAAGAGCCGAGCCTCGTAGGTCCTAGAAAAGCAGACCTTCCAAAATCCCTTAATTAAGGAATATACCTTAAATCATATTGGGGATCCTATCATGATTTAAGGTATATTCTTTAATTAAGGGATTTTGGAAGGTCCGGGAAAGCAGAAACCTTAAGTTTGCTAGCCGAGGAGCAGGGCTTCCAGGTCCCTCGGCCGGCAATTCTTGGCTTGAGCGCTGCAGGTTTAAGGAAAGGAAGGTTATGAATAGGGTTTAGGGTGATAATTATAATGGTATGTTGGGGAAGAATATAGGGTTTAGGGTTCTAATTAGAATGGTTGACACAAAACATGTTGGGGAATAATATATGTGTCGCCATTAAGCTTAATTTTAAGTTCAGCTTGAAGGTTTAAGTGTTTGAGGGCTGACAGTTAATGGTTCAGCGGGTGAGGGTCGAGGGCTCAGAGTTTAG